GGTCCCGGGTTCGATTCCCGGCGAGGGTCTGACAACAGCAACAATTTTCCCTCATTAACATGTAGTGGATAAAAAATTCGAAAAATGAATTTTCATATAAATATTTCATAATAAAAGCGACGTTCATATCAATCCAACCCCCTCTTCCATATGATCCAGAATACTCTTTCACCAGACCCTCATTTACAAAACTATATATTAGCATATAGTTTATTCACAGCCCCTAAGTTCTACACATTAAAATGTGATTTCGAATTTTTTCCTTCTATTTTTAGAAATTATTACACAAATCGCGAAAAAATAATGAATTCGACATATGTGTATTCTATTATATTCTCAAGTAATTTTAGGTTTAAAAAAAAACTGACCTTACCAGAAATATCATTTCACAAAATTTATAGAAAGCAAAATAGAGGTTGTTCCTTTATTTTATTAAGAAAGAAATACAAAATTCTGAATGATGAAATAGTAAACTCAATTAGTTGTCTTCGTTGAAAAGAAATTTCAAACGCCATTCGTTTTTATAGAGTAGGTAATAAACACGTAATGCATGAATTTCTATGGAGATTTTAATGATCGGTCAGAAAGGAAACCTTACAACTGTAGCTTGAATATACACAATCCTATATACATTGCTGTTATACGGTAGCCTATACATAATGGTGTGTGTCTCTATTTAACAGGGATTGGCCCATGTGACCCTTTTACAAACAACAGTAATATTAACAATGTAATAAATAATTACGAAAAATAAGCATTTAAAAGTAACACTAGCGTAAATATATCAAAAAGAGTACCTAATAAAGTACCTATTTCCGGATCTTACAATAAGTATTAAAAAGGGGCTACAGCTGTAATTAGCAATTACATTGGATGTATTATTTTATATTGTGTTAAAAAGAAAGATAAGCTGTACATTTATTAGAAAATAATATTTGTTTGTCGGGTTTACAACATAAAAGGTATCCAAATTCTACTGATTTTATGAAGCTGTTAGGAACAACGTAATTTTTACTACAAATATAGTAATTAATTAACATTAATTAGGTCATTAATTACATCCCTATCACAATTTGCTCCAAAATATACTAGGAATTTGTGTATTTTATACATTCTTTATTAATTTCTTCCAAGAACTAATTAAATGTTCAATAACGCAGTAGCGTAGCTACGGGGGGGTAAAGGGTTCAACCCTCCATGATTAAAAATGCGAGAAACAATTGCTATCAGGTACTGGCAAAGCACATAGAAGTAACAAGTAATATGTTTTAAAATTGATTGTCCCACATTTATTTATTATTTTAATTCTAAAAGTGTTTTGACTAATTAATATGTATACATGTCTTTTACCTATTTTTTTAGTGCTTTTATTTATACAATATTACTTCTTAATTATTTTTAGTGGTAATTTTCTCATCAAATGTACTTGATATTCTAAAAATTCTGCTTGCATATTAATCTATATTTACCATTAAAAGCAATCCTTGAAAAGCCTCGTTCATTTAGGGGGCAGTTTTTATATAATAAAAAGCTTTTTATCCATAACCTATTTTAGCCTTTATTGCTTTAATTAGTTTAATTTTTCCTCACAATGAAGGCATTTTTGAAATGTAATAAATTAAATTAACTTACCCTCCATTGTAACCATAGTGTAATTGGTCGCTACTCGATGGCGTCTGTTCGAAGACGGAGCTGTCGGGTGCGGAATCACTTTGTGCTCTCAGTTGTGCTCTATGAAACCTTACTTCGTCTTCTACTTTTTCTCTTTGCTTTTTTGACATCCGACCAAACTTTACGGCTGAAACAAAATGTACGGAATCAGAATGTAATACAAAATGCATCATCAATAACCATTAAATTTACAACATTTCCCCACTTTGCTTGTAGACTAAAGCATCCTGAGATACTAAAATGAAATTTCTGTCTGCAAATGTTTCTAAGATAAGAAAATGAATTTCGATGGTAGAAAATGTACGGTACGGATAGTTATACTCAAACCTTAGGGATAATCCATAAAATACGTCACTCAGAATTTCACATTTTTGTACCCCTTCGTCACAGTTTCAGCGACCCTCTAAGAAATATTACGTCACAAAAGCTACCCCCTCCCTCCATAAACGATTTCTTGTAGTTAAAAATAGTAAGGAGAATTACGGTATCTATCGTAATGAAAAATTTTAACTGCCAAGTTAAGAGAAATATAAATATAAAATTGATAAAGTGCGAAGGTCACATTTTCGTAGACTCCCTCTGTCACATCTCGTCACGTTAAGTAATACCCCTCTCTCCCCTTTATTTAAAAACGTATATTATGAACAACCCCTACGAACGGATTGTAAATCTCCGTATATTTATTTAGTGAAACTTTAGAATAAAAGACTCGAAATTTGTTGATTGTTAATTGGTAAAACAATTGAGAACTGAGCATAAGGACATTCTATTACGTGCAATCACCAAAAGGGCGGCATCACCTTTTGAAAAATATGACGTGGTATCAGAAAGTTCTTACAGAATTTCAGCCAACTTAAAGTATTCTCCTTTGTTTAAAGGGTTTTGATAGTTCGGTTACTTTAGGACAATTTTCACTCATAGAATATTTTCAGATAGACGTAGTTGAAAAAAATATATTCCACATGTTCATCAAATTAGGCATTCTAGCTCCTGCGACATAAAAAAATATCCAAAAAAGAAATCTGTAATTTCTACGTTCGGTGACCACTTTGCCTTACCTGTTTCAATTTTCTTTTAACAATTTCACTTTGTTTCAGGTTTATTCTAAGAGGAAGAAGTATCCGTGTATCAGCAATGGTAAGTTATTTTATAATTAATTGAGTAAAACGTAAAGTTGCAAATAGACATCTAAACATCATACATCTAACTTATACGAAAGAATTAAACCATTTAAAAAACGAGGCTTGTTACGTGAAGTGGCATATAAAATATCTAAATACGTATGTTACTTATATGTATTTTATTTTACTTGAAATCTCATGAGTTAGAGTTATTAGAGTACAGTTACAGACAGTGAATTGAAAATTACTACATACATATTTGCATTTTAATAACATTAAGAAAAGTTTTTAAAAGCTTCGCTATTTTGTAACAATAAATCTTTTAATTTAAACTGAGCAACTAAACTGAAATAACGTTTAAATACCAAATTGGTCAATGATAATAAATTCTATTTTCGGGACTAATTTGCCTAGCCTAACCTAACCCAACCTTTGCGGCGACTAATCGGCTCGAAAATTAGGACTTCAAGTATACATATACATACTAATTACCACTTACTTTAATAACAGCAAAAATTGTAAATAATCACCACCAACATAAGAACTTTTAAAACGATTAATTAAATAACAATTATTTTTTATTCTTTTTCAATTTACTTCGACTGTCATTAATACGCTTTTTATGGGACAGATTTAATTTAGCGTAACGTATTTGGAAACTAAGTTTGTCTTTATCCTATTGGAGGCCCTGAGTTCATAAGGATAACGCGACACTATGACTTTGACAGAGGACTATTTTACTGTATCCTTACGAAAAATAGACCTCTGTCAAATTCTTGAGAAGATTACAACTTTAGCATGAGTTTTCACGACTTAGCGCCCATTGCGATTTTTGATCCATACTATGTATTTAAGAACTACCGCAATCTAAATTTTCAGTGTTTAACAGAGGGTCATTTTCCGTAGGTAAGGATTTTGTGGAGCACTTTATTCAACAACTATTTTTATTTCTTTACGATCACAATAAATGAATAGATAATTGTAATATGATTTGGAAAAGCAACTCTTTTTGCATTCACAAGTTTTTGCTTAATTCTATGCTTATTGAAAGGTTCTAGTGAATAATTATTGGTTGATTGATTGAAACCCGATAGTTATCGGTAATAAATATTGGGTTTTGGTTTGTGGATGGATCTGACAGGAACTAGAGGGCTACTGGATCGCGGAGTTATGGGGACTTACCGAGAATGTCAAATAGAGAAAGGGGGCTGGGGTTAGGTTAAAAAGGATCATGTCACTAATTCCAATACGAACTAAATTATAAATAGATAGGTGTCTCATGTAAAAGACAAATTACTTCCAACAGGAAAACATAATAATTATTTATATGTGAGGATTGTTTTGAAAGTTCAATTTAATTTTAATTGTATATGAACTAGGTTGGTAGATTAGTTTGCCATCGCTTTTTCAAGCAGTACCTACTGTTAAATATCTTGCTTGTTGACAGTGATTTAGAACCTCACTCTACCTGCTTTGATATGGTTTATTTTGATTTTGTGTGGTGTTTTGTTTTAAACTATATCTAAAGTATAAAAATGACCAATATTTTTTATACTTCTATTAAAAATACACAAAATATAATAGACTGCTTAAAATTCAAAGCTCCATAAAACTTGTTCAGGAACCTAAAACGCGGTTCAACACCCAAAGTGTTAGATAGAGATTTTTGGTTTTAAGTGTTTATTTAATTCTATTAAAAATGAAAAAAGTTCGAGATAGCAAAGTTTATTTTTTTTGTCAAGCCAAATTGGGTGTAATATACTTTTGAATTTTAAATCCTAATAAATTATGTTTAGTAGACGAATACCGGTGGACCGAATTGATCCGTCGAACTACACTACTTCTCTGACGTAAGTGTGTGTATTACGTTGTCTCGTCCATTCATGCTCTCCGGACAATTCGTGTCAAGGTAACCTGCGAACCCGTTTGCTCTGTTTTAATACATTCCGTTCGTAATATTATTATTGAGCTCACGGGAATCTCCAACCTAATTAGCTCTGCGTGCTAGAAAAATCAAATAGGTATCGGACAGCTATAATAAGAAATACATATATATCTTTTGTACTTTTAACTTTTTGAAGTGAAACTTCTTTACGCACGGTAAGGTAAGTTCGTTTCATGCGAGTTGCTACGTAACGAAATCATGTAACGCATTTCCCCCGCTGTCTGTCCCTATGTATGCTTAGATCTTTAAAACTACGCAACGGATTTTAATGCGGTTTTTTTTTAATAGATAGAGTAATTCAAGAGGAAGGTTTATATGTATAATACATGCATAATATAGTAGAGAAACACTGATAATTTTAGAGGTTTGTAATGTGATGTCGTAAATAAACACATTTTTTTGCGCTTACATTGCAAACGCTGGCTGAACCCTACGAGATAGATCAAAATAATGTACTACAGTATTGTACACCTTAAAAAGGTCTACAAAAAAGTCCGCGATGGTATATGTCTATCTCTTAGGGATAACCCACAATAACCATTTTTTATCCTTTACTTTTTACGAGAAATAATGGCTTATTTACGAAGCGATTTTAAGCAATACAGCATTAATCCTTATCCAATTAAGTACTTTTAAATACATTGTGCATTCAATATAGATCAATATGGCCCTTTACAGCATGTAATTTAAATGAATATTTTCGAAGATATTACAGATTTAAAATGCAGGGACATAGCGGTTGCGGCGGTACCGGCCGGTTTGTATTGTCTAATGACAAAAAAGCTGTGATTGTTGTATATAAAGACATTCTATAGTATATTTACTATCAGCATTGCACCCGTGCGAAGCATAGTATACAAATAATACCATTAAACCAATTCCTTAACCCCTATCCCGGTATGTTTGTGCGTTTGAAGAAGTTTACCTTGAGTAGCGTGTTGTATAATTACACGTTGTATTTTTTTTTTGTTTTAGTCTAATTATTATTAAGAATTTCTTCAGCTCTAAATCAATGGAAATGTATTTATTGAATAACAACAGATAATGTGGTCGACTAAAATGAATTTATTAAATTCATTGATTTATCCCCATGCTTCCGCTGGGTGTCATCCCAGTTGCGTGCGCGTTCTATCTGAAAAACATTCATGCCACTTGCGTATGGTTGGGATTTAAATGATTAAAATAAGTTAAGAACATCTATACATAAATAATGTTTTCCAATTGGCAGTTTTTCCCAGAAAAATATGCCAAATATCCTAAGCAGTGTCTTGAAGCTTTGGTTGTAGCATACTGATTCAAGATTCTTTATTTGATCATCTAATTAAATAGCGCTTCTTTCTTCTTTTGTCTTTCATATTTAATTCTGATCTTCTCTAAAGAATATAATTCTGTTTGACCTCTTCTTTTATTTTTTGATTAACTGGCTTTTTGAAGGATTAGGGCTCAAGATATAATTTAATTTATTCTTCTGTCCTTCTACGACATTATTTATCCGGCGATTTTTTCTTGTAACAGTTACACATATTAGCAACTGTGACTGTACGCAAGTGGAACGGAAACATATCTTATACGTAGAGTGTTAATTATAGTGAATTACCGATTTCAACGAAATTAATCAAGGGCTTTACCCATTTTTTTTTGTCTTTAACACTTACTTTTCTAAAAAGGGTAGATAACTTTTTTTGTCCTTTAAAAAGCGAATTCAATTTTTTCGAGATGGTTTTCAAAAGGACCTTTCATATTCCACAAAAAATCAGCAACAATTTTACACAAAGGTTTTGTTACGCGTACACAATACAGCAGCAGTTCGTTGGACTTTGAAAGGGTGTTTGCAAAATGAGCTGGAATTTCATGCAAACTTATATTGTATCGCAATACAAAATTTACTCAATATATTCCGCTCATAAAATCTGCAATGCCTACGTTATACGTACGGCTGCTTTGGTTGAAACGTATTGAAGTTTTGCATTGAAATGAAAATGAAATCTTACTCCTTCCTAGTGAATGATCGTTAAACAAATCATGCATAAAGTAAAACTGCGCTAACATGATGGGGGTGAA